CATGCCGTCGTCTTCGTCGGCATGCGAAGAAAGAACGCGTTGCCTGGTTCAGAAGCCATGCCCACGCGGACGTGGGCATGGCACCGTTGGGCCTACCCAACAAACTCTCAATCCAACAAATGTGGAAACCGCTGGGCATACGCTGCGGACCAGCTTTCGTTTTCCAGCACACAGCGGATGCAGTGTTGGGTGAAATCTTCCAGCGTGTCGACCAGCTCGAACGATTCTGTTTCGGTGCTCGGGGCGGTGACTTCCAGCATGCGGTTTAAATAGAACACCGCGCCGGATGGGGTCGATTGAAACGCGTACGTTTTCGGCGGAGGGGTGACGATTGGGTAGCCCATCGCTTCGTCGGTTCCGGCCGGGCTGAAGAGCGAACCTTCGGTGGCCATCTCGCCGGTGAACGCATCGGCATAACCGCCGGCGATTTCGGGATCGTCACATTTCATGCCATGCAGTGCACTGACATACGGCGGAATGAACTCGGCCGTCATCTCTGGCACACCAAAGCAAAGCCGCGTGCCGCTGACCAGGAAATCGCCGAGATACTCGATCACGACCGGTTCGAAGTCCAGCGAAACGACCAGGCCAATCAATTCGTCCCAGACCGGCCAGCCAGGGTTTGCGTGGGTCAGTCGTTCGAGCAGGTGTTGTTTCATCATCATGGGGCGGCTCCGGCAAAATGCCCGGGGTTATCAGTACGGTTTCTTCCATTATAGAGAAATTCACGCACACTTCTCAGGGGCACTAATGGGGACCAAGCTTCCGCCGCGCGGGCCCAACCATCGATCGACAAACACCCCGCATCGCCAGGCCAACCAATCGGGCAACCTACACCGGCCACTGCGTGTTATATTGACCACTTCACGTAGTAGGAAAGCGGACCGAGACCGATGCCAGCTCCGACGGAATCTCTTAGTACCAGCATCTTGGGAATCATGTACTTCGGCGAAGTCGTGTTCGCAATCAGCGGTGCATTGACGGCGGCTCGCTACAAGATGGACGTGCTGGGGTTCGTTCTGATCGGCACGATCACGGGGATTGGTGGGGGAACGCTTCGCGACTTGCTGCTCGATCGCCCGGTCTGGTGGACGCATGACCCGACCGAACTGATCTTGTGCATGGTCACGTCGCTGATCACGTTCTTCTTTATCACCAAAGACATCACGCGGCATCAAGCCATGGTCTGGTCCGACGCGCTGGGGCTGTCGGTCTTCGGCGTCGTCGGTTGCTACATCGCCATGCAGCATGGCTCGTCATTCATCATTGCGGTGTTCATGGGAATGGTTACCGCCACGGGAGGCGGCGTCCTTCGCGACGTGCTGACGAACACCGAGCCCATGATCGTCCGCGGACAA